AAAGTGGAGCACAGGCTTACCATAATTTGATCCTAACACTGGGGGGAAAAATCAACCCTGGGCAAAATTTCTTGCCAGGTTTATCCATAAGAATATTTCCAAACTACGGAAAACTCCATGCTAGCAGGACCTATGTGTGGCTCCCTATTCCAGCAGTGGCATCAGAAGACAGTTTGAGAGGCTCCAGGTCCTCTCGGGCACATCAACCACTAAAGTCTGATGAACCTTGAAGCCATAAGTCATGAGGTTCAAGTGTAAAGGAAAACGAGCCATTAGCAAAAACTTTCACCTGCTGGGAAAAACCTCAGGAAACCAAAGCCAGCCTCACCGGCAAGCGATGTCCAGGTCACAGTCTCGGTCAATGTAACACGGGCTTTTCCCCCCGAGTTCCAGGGTCACAGGGGTCAGGTGTTTGGCAGCAGCTTCCATGACAATTTTTCCAACTGCAGTGTTTCCTGTGTAGAGAATGTGATCAAAGCGCTGCTTCAGGAGCTCTGTGGTCTCAGCAACACCGCCATTAACTACCGCATACAGGTCCTCAAAGAAAGAGAAGCAGAGTCTTCCATTGTCAAATTAATCTTATTGCCTCACGTCAGAAATTCTTCAACATAAATCAGTAAAACCAAAAGATCAGGACCATCTCCCTTAAGGGACAGATCAGGGAGGTGACCAAGACAGAGGACAAAGGATCTGCTGCTGACCACAACTAATTACAAGGCTAATTAGTTCTTATTCACTTTATAGTTCAACTGCCTAATGTACTTTAAATTTTTCTGTGCTTTAATCCACAGGTAAATTAACCCATCAGCTAACTGAAACAGGTACATTATTATCCTCCCCATTTGGATAGTCAATTATTAAAGAATTTACATCTGGGTGAGGGGCAAATCGAGACCTTAATCCTCTATCTTCTGGTTCCAAGTCCTACCCAATCCATGCTACCTTGCCATCTTCCATTTAGTCCTGCTAGACTGGATAACCAAGCATTAGAACCAAATTGCTCTGTGAGCTATGACGACAAGGATAAGACAATAAAGAGACCAAAGTTATTCTAAGAGCTAGAATTGGTTTCTAAATTCTAAATTCAAATTCATAAACACAATACAGCTCGGGTGTTTTTTTTTTTTTTTTTTTTGTTTTTCGAGACAGGGTTTCTCTGTGTAGCTTTGCGCCTTTCCTGGAGCTCACTTGGTAGCCCAGGCTGGCCTCGAACTCACAGAGATCCACCTGCCTCTGCCTCCCGAGTGCTGGGATTAAAGGCGTGCGCCACCACCGCCCGGCTTCAGCTCGGGTGTTTTAAAGTTGCCTTTTGATGAAAGCTAAATAGATAATCTCCCATGACTGCACATGGAAGTCAGCAGTCACAAAGTCATCAACTTCCTCTCTAGAGGTCATGAGAACTTCTGAATCTGATCCCCAACCCAAAAGCTGGGGTATCTCTCTCCCTCATCAGCCTTCGATGCTCTCCATGCCTACATGCTAACTCAGAGTGCTAGCTCAGGAAGGCCTTTCTTCCAGGCCACAGACATGCCTTTGAAACGCAGAGTACTTATGTAATAACACATATGATGATCTGTTAGGAAAAAAAGACAGTGACAAAAACATGCTAGCCTCTCATAACTAGTTCACTAAATGGATGATGTCTGAAATTGTATCCTCGGCAGTGCCAAATGATAGAAAAAGATAAGAGACATGTATAAAGCTACAGGCCTAAACACACTCTGCAGCCACAGTTGGTGGGTCATTCCACAGTGAATTTTGGAACCTTGCTTCCTTTATTAAACCAACTGTTGGAGACTTAAGGAAACCACACCCATCTGCAGCCAGCAAAGACATCACTAGCAAGCAGAAGAGTCAAATCTGTGTTTTCCACCACAAACAGATGCATTGAAGATGGACTGAAATATTCTTACCTGGTCTAAATATTGAGGGAGGAGTTTAGCCAAGATCTTGGCTGTGTTTTCACTTAGTTCTGAAGGCTTCACAATCACAGCATTTCCTAAATAAAGCAAAGAGCAGAACAACATCAGTCAATATTTGAGTAACTTGAAAAGCTACCAAAATGACACTCATGTATTGTACAGGCTAAGTTTCACTTATTCCTGCAGCTCTTAAGTCTGTCCTACCTCATATCACATGTCCTCTGTCCTTTCATGTTTTCTTTCCCAAATGCTAGCCCGTTAGCTCTCGGTATCTCCAGGTCACTAACAACAGGCTCTGCCAGCTTCTCCCACTCCCCAGATTTCTATCTCTTCCTTTACAGTTCTACCACGGTTTTCTCTCTCTGCCCTAGAATCACTGAGCAAACAGGCTCTGTCAACATAAGCTGTTGACATCGTAAGAAATCAATCTGTTGAGATTTGCTGTACATTCAAGCTAGCATTACACATAATGCCTTTATTTGAATAAAGAAACTGGTCAAATGAAATTAAGTGGTTTGTTTTCTAAAAGCAGAGCCAGCAACTAAAATTACATTAGAATATGGATGCCTGGGCTGGAGAGATGGCTCAGCAGTTAAGAGCACTGGCTGCTTTTCCAGGGGACCCAGGTTCAATTCCCAGACCCACATGGCAGCTTACAACTGTCTATAACTCCAGTTCCAGGGGATCTGACACCTTCATACCAATGCACATAAAATAAATTTAAATAAATGACTTAAAAAAAAAAAAAGGCTATGGATGCCTGACTCTAAGATCTTGGGACTACTGACTCAGATGCCTCTGACTCTCACAGATTCATCTCCTAGGTACTTCAGCATTCATAAACACAAGTACACATGTGAATTCTCAATAAACTGGTGTCAGCCAAGGAAAACCGGCAAAGGACATGTATTTAACTAGACACTTAACTACCAACTGACATGACACAGTGCGACCCTCTACACAGGAACAAAGACATCAGCTGGCACACACCTGCAGCGATGGCCCCCACCAGGGGCTGCATGATAAGGACGAAAGGGTAGTTCCACGCTCCGATAATCAGTACGACCCCCAGAGGCTCTGGCTGAACATAGGCCTCATCCAGCATGGTAAGCAGGTTCTTCTTAGCCGGCTTAGCAGAAGCCAATTCAGAAAGATTTGCCAGCATAAAATCAATCTCCCCAAGGATGGTGATGACTTCATGACTGTATGCGTTGAGTTCACTCTGGAAAAGAAAATCAATTCATCTTACAGAGTACCGTCTACTGGGCTTAGGACAATGGTTCTCAACCTGTGGGCCACGACCCCACAGGTGTCATATATCAGATAACCGGCGTATCAGGTATTTACATTTATGATTCATAACAGTAGCAAAATTACTGTTGCAAAGTAGCAATGAAACCATTTTATGGCTGGGGTCACCACAACACAAGGTGGAAGCATTAGGAAGGTTGAGAACCACTGGCTTAGGATGATGTCACAAGGTTCAAGTATATCTGCAGTGACAAATGGTGTTATTAGACAGCCCTCCCCACAGTTGGCCACCAGATTTTTTTAACCTCCAAATTCTCAATAAGACACACCCTGGATACTCTTGCTGGCTCTTCCTCTCTAAGATAGTCAGTGTGTCTGAATTCTTCTCTACTGATCCAAGTCTTTTAAAATTAGGGTTACACATTTTCAGCAACAGTTCCCTGCTTGATAAGAGCCTGCCTCGGTCACAGTTTAGACACCGTGGCAATTTTGCTTTTGAGCTGTATCTTTAGGACACTGGTTTATAACCACAGTCACATTTTATCTATATATGTTCTATTTTACAGCCTGGTTTAAAATTCTGAACTTACTGTATTTCTTCAGTAACCCTATGTATGTACAAACTTACACAAAGTATCTGATGCTAGCAGAATGATAGGGTTTTAACAGTCCTATCTTTGTTTACTATCACAGCCCATCTTCACCAAAAGTACCCTGAAGGAAGGTTTGTAGCTACTACTATCATTACTACTAAAACTACTGTTACCACGTTTTGAAATAGTCTTTGATTGGGGAAGGAAGGATTGCAAATCTGAAAATAAAGGTCTTACTATGCCTGGAATACAGAAAGTAAAAAGAAAAAACAATATTACTAGAGAGTACAGGAGAATATAGTTCTATCTCAAACACTACTCAAAACCTTGGTATTCAAAGCTTGCTTCTGAAGAGGTCATATGATACCACCTGGGACATCATTAGAAATCTCAGACACTGTCTCAGATGAATTTAAGATTTTTATTTTAACAGGTCCCCAGAGTGATTATCAGTGTACTAGAGTTTAAGCAACACATATGAATGATACACAACGTCATGAAGGAAAATATGAGTGCTGAAGATTACTTCGAAAAAAATAACAACACTGTCTACGATTAGAACCCACTTTTTAAAAGTTAAGGGAATGAAATATCTGAAATCTACCAAGCGGACAAACCACTGACACCCAGAATATCCAGAGAGTTGGGGGCACACTGTAAGAAAAGAGACTACAAATGCAGTAGAAATGTCCTATAAACAGCATTCGCGGGAGAGAAGCTGCGAGTACCCCTAAGTGCAAATAAAACCGTCTGGGCTCTAAGCAGGGCTGGAGTCCGGAGTAACACCACTTCCTCTTTACTACGGGATAAACAACCTGCTACAGCGCAGGAAAAGGGGACGCGCCGGGTCCCTCCCTCCCACCTCCCACGCTCACCTTGCTCAGGTCCGCCGCGATGGCCGCCAAGATGTCCTTCTCGCGCTCCTGCACCATCCTCCGCAGGGCCTCGAGCTGCTGGAGTCGGAAGCGGAGCGGCCGCGATCGGCCGGACCGGAACGCCTGCCGAAGCCGCTGGACCTGATGCTCCATGGCGGGGCCTGAGGAGAACGCGGAGTGAGGCAGGTGTGGCCGCACAGTCCCGGCGACGCGCTGCTCTGGCTGACGCCGCCGCTGAGTGCCACCTTCGGCTCACCCGCCCCACTCGCCTACCGGCCCAGACCGGACCTCCACGTAAGCCAAACCCGCCGTCTCCGCAGCTAATGACGCGAGGCGCGCCCATTGGTCGGGCTGCTGCACGTGACTGCGAGGCCCCGCCCCCGACCACGGTCAGAGCCTGGGGACCCTTGACCGCGGGCGGCTGGAGAAGAGGTGTGTCCAGTGGTCCGCGGAGGAGGGGAAGGATTGCTCTGGCTTTGGGAAAGGGCCGAGCGTCCTCTTGGAGGAGGAACTGAGGCCCGGGAGGTGCTCGCCAGGCCAGAAGCGGCCTCCCCTCGCCCCTGGCGCCTCAGACTCAGAGGCAAAGTTGCAGGCCGGGTGCAGGGGTGGGGCAAGGCGGGTGACGCCCACGACGGAGGTGGATTTCAGTGTACACACGCCAGCAGCACCCTGGTCATCACCCATCCTGGTGTTTAATCCTCCAGTTTTTCTGTTCCCCTGTCTGACATTACTGCTTCAGAGAGGGAACCTGCATCACCCAGGTTTCCCCAGATTTCCTCTCCAGACTAATTAGTCATGGTGGGCATCCGGACCCGTCCTGGGCTGCTCAGCAATGGTGGTCATTCAGGGTTGTCCTTCCCATCTTCTGGAATGACTAAATGTCGTTCTCTATTTAGACTTATAATGGGCGCCCTACCGTTAAGTTCATTAGAACTTTTGATTTATTCTCCACCAAACATACTTCCTTCAGTGTTTCCTATCTCTTTGACCTTAACTTCAGAATATATGTTGAATCCAATAATTAATGGTTCGAACCATAAAATATATCTACTGTATATAGCAATAGCATCCTAATAGGCTCCCTGCTTGATTGCTTGGAGATTATAGATCTATTACTTCTTAATCCTACACTTGTCATTTTATACTCTGTACTTCAGGGTGCCATGAGAGGTCCTCCTTCCTCCTCGGCCTCTGAGGAAGTTCTGCCAAAAGGAAGGACTACCAGGAAAATCAAAATTTCTGTTTCCCCATGTATTCAGTAGTGTGGCATATGCACACGGGGGAAGGGGAGATAAGTTTATTCCTGCCTCTAGGAATTCCTTGGACAAGGTGGCTCCTCTGGATCCTGTGACCGAGGACCACAGTCACAGCATCTCTAAATGGCACGAGTGATGAGCTGCCTTTTGAGCAGTTTCTGATCTTTGATACCACCCCATTTTTCCTTCTGATGGTGTTTACTCCCGAAACCCCTCCTGCATGAAATAACTGGGTTGGTTTCTCTCTCCTGACTGCAAAGTTCTGCTATTTCCTGTTCTTCACCTAACTGTCACTGATTTTTTTTTTTTCAGAACGTATGCTGGCCTTTACTAGTCCCATGCTCAAAACTCTTCAGCAGGTTCCTGTCACATTGAGAATAAAATTCAAAGCCCACACCATCCTCTGTAAGCCCTGTGTGTCCTGCCCTCTGGATGTGCCTCTGCTTGTAGGATTCACCCACTTAGTGAGTTTTAGCCAGAGTGGCTTTCTTGCTGTTCACTGAACACCTGAGCACATTCCCATCCCAGAGCTTTTTTTTGGCACTCTGTGTCCTTTGTCTGGAGTGCCCAGCTAACTTTCTCAATTTTGTAGCTTTCCCAATAGCCTGTGCCTTGAGGCTTGCTTATCTGAGGCGCTTCTTGGTGAAGCAAGACAAGGCCACCCCACCCTTCTTCAAACCTCTGCTTCGCCCTCACCTGCTAAAGCAAGTCAAAACAAACAGCAACACATTCTGTTGGGAGGTTCCATGGTTGGAACTGGTGGACTGCAGCTGAGAAAGAGCAAGAGGAGCAGGCTTCGAATGTTACAAAACGAATCAGTAGCTTCCCCACACACAGCCCAGAATCACCTGTGCATAGCAAGCCATCGGCCAAAGGTCAGTATCTAGCACTGTGTTGCAATGTTGAAATTAGCTCGAAGTTCACCACAGGAGGATGCTTAGCTATCTTTTTTTTTATCTGATCAGAGAGTGACCAATTTTAAACTCTTGAGTTAATAAGCATTATGTGAGCATGAATTATATAAGATAAATTGAGTTACAGATTGTGCGGTGAGCTAAGAAGTATGTGATAGAATTCTACTTAGTGTAAACTAGGACAGGAATCCATGTCATATAAAGCAAGTTGACCAGAGTGGCAACAAGCTGCTTTTTGTTCTGAGAATGAGATGTGAGGGTTTCTTAGGAATATACTGGTGTATTTACACACGCCTTTAATCCCAGCATACGGGAGGCAGGTAGGTCTCTACAAGTTCAAGGCCAGCCTGGGTCTACATAGAGCGTTCCATGGCAGCCTAAGGTTATGTAGTTAGACCTTGTCTCAGAAAACAGAATATTTCATGATTCTGTTGTGCACAATCACTGAAAGTCTGACTCTTCGTGGTCTTTTTAAATTTTTTTTATATTGGAGAAACCAATTATCTCAGGGTTTCTATTGCTGTGATAAAACACCATGACCAAAAGCAACTTGGGGAGGAAAGGGTTTATTTCCGCTTACAGTCCCACATCACAGGTCATCACTGAGGGAAGTCAGGGCAGGAACAAAAAACAAGGCGGGAACCTGAAGGCAGAAACTGGTGGCAGAGGCCATGGAGGAGTGCTGCTTACTGGCTCGTTCCTCAAGGCTTGCACAGCCTACCTTTTATAGCTCCCAGGAGGGGTGGCACCTCCCACAGCTAGCTGGGTCCCCAACATCAATCATTAGTCAAGAAAATGAACCATAGGCTTGCCCACAGGCTAACCTGGTGGAGACATTTTCTCAATTGAAGTTCATTCTTCCCAAATGACTCTGATTGGTGTCAAGTTGACGTAAGATAGCCAGCGCAGCAATTGAGAGCATTTTGTTGAGTAGATTTAAAAAAAACACATCCAAATGCTCCAACAAAACGATATTGTTATGGAACCAAATAAAGAACTACAATTATATGTATTCCCAACTGAAATATTCTCCCTTCTTCAATATGTAATATTCATTGACTTAAGTGACTAAGGACCAATAAAATTCTTACTTCAGGATTAGGGGTATGGAGTAGCTCCCCACAAACTCCTTTCAGCAAAGACAGCAAACTGGTAATTTAAGAAAGTCCTCCTTTTTCTACTAAAACATACTTTCTTTCTTGAGGGTGATCCATTCCCTGACCTCCCCGCTACCACCATCACCTCAGAGCCTCTTCAGGACAGAAATCCATCCTTAGCACATAGATTATGTCAGCCATGTGCTGGTGGCCCAAACCTGACCCAGAAGCTCTCCCTTGAACTTTTGTTAGGATTCTCATGAACGAGGCATGAAGTGCAGCTCATTGGATCCTAGAGCACACTTTGGCCAGTTTCTTGGCAACCAAAGGAGTGAGTCCCTGAGAATAAAGTTGGTACCCAAGAAAGCAGAGCTCGGAGACAGTGTCTTAAGATGTTCTGAACAACAAGCTTGAAGATTAAAGTACATTTTTCTGCTCTCATAGTTTCATGGGCTGATAAATTTCCAAATCATAGGGACCCAAAGTTTAAATTGTCACTTGTTACAAAAATAAGCTCAATGTTATAGGGAGAACCCCAAATTTCAGATCCTCGGATTAACACCACCATAGGGTAGAAAGAATTCAAACATCGTAAAAGTTGATGTGATATTCTTTCCCTATGTGATAGAAATTAGACAGTTTAACAATTGAAATTTGCTGACAGTTTCTAAGCAGCAAATGTATTCCTACAGAGAGATGGGTTCTGAGCAAATCACACCCAACTTCTTAGGACATGGAGGCAGAGGCACAAAGGAGGAAGACAGCCCTGAGCACACAGACACACACTCAGCCCTCAAAGGTTAAGACAATTAAGCTCTATTTCCCTGCCCTTGAAATTTTTCTGTGCCAGAAACTGAGGAAATGGAAGTATAGTATTTTTGCAACAAAGATTGCATTTTATTAGTTATTAAATATATACAAATTTTTACAAAGTTAAACTACAGCTATATCTACCTTTATTCCTCTACTCAGTTGTTCCTACAGAATTCACAGGTGATAACAAATACATGTTTAACTTTTGTAGCCAAATAAATTTTCAATATGTTTATACAATTTATCGTCCCCATCAGTCACTTACCGCAGCCTCTTCAGCATTCGGTCATGTCAGTGTCTTTAAATTACCATCCCAGTTGGTGACAGTGATACCTCATTGTGACTTTCAACTTGCCCTACGCTAAGGAATAAAGAGATTGCCTTTTCAATTTGCAGGTATTTCTGTGGCTGTTAAGAACAAATTTTATAGCTGTGTGGCAGAGGCAGACAGATCTGTGAGTTTGCCTAGACTACAAAGAAAGTTCCAGGACATCCAGGCTACACAGAGAAACCCTGTCTCAAAAAAACAAAAAACAAAAAAAAACAAAAACAAAAAAAACATACAAACAAACAAAAAAAACCAATGGATTTTATGAGTGGTGTTGAAGATGTCAGATTGGAATTGGAGTCTTAGACACCTTAGATGCCTCTCCTAGACCTCATCATATTCTTTAGCAAATATTAGCTTTGGTATAGCTTTTTGTGTCCACAGACCAATAATAGTCAGAAAATAGCACACTTGGGTAAAGAAAGAAAAGATATAAGCCTTCTACCAAAAAAAAAAATCATTCAGAGGGCAGATGGCATAATTCTTGCAATCTCTAGAGAGTGAAACATAATTTTTGAAAACAAGGAACCCCCAAAGGAAGATGATAAGATTGAAGAATAGATAAGACAACAAGGAATGGACAGAGGCTTAAAAACAGGGGAAGAAGTGGGGAACAATGGCTTAAGAGAGAGTCAGAGGAGAAACAGGGAGATAAAGTAAGCAAGAGGCGAGAAAAGAGCATATTTAACAAAATAGCTGAAGACCAAAACCATGTAAGTGTCATATCATGTAGAGACCACAGAGGTTTCCTAATGAGATCTGAGCTTGCTTTACCCAGCAGGATGCATAAGGGGATGATTAGATCACGGGTGTGGTTACCAGGTGTTTGGAAAGGTCTGCACTTGTATGTGAAGTGTGCTTTGATCAAGCAAGGGGCAAGTCTTTTGCCCCGCCCCTTGGCATTGTTATAAAAAGTCCTTTAGAAGAGCCAGAAGGGGTGGGTGGATTTTGATCCAGGTCCTCCCGAAGCTGTCCTGTGTTTCTGTCTGTCCCTTCTCCGCTGTCTTTCTATCTAAAAGCTTCTTATCCCTCTCTCCTCCTCATAGGAACTCTTTTAAAAGGTGGGAGCTGGCCTCCCACACATGGTACCCTGAACAGGGACTTAGGTTCAGGGATCCCCACAACATCTCTCCACTTATATGATGATACAGAGACAGAAGGTAGAAGTGGTCGGCTGGGGACACCTGCAGGATGAGGTCTTTAATGTGTTCAGAGTTGTACTCTAGGTAATGAAAAACTTAGGCGTTAGATGATAGTGGGAGCGGGTAGCAACTTGTCGGGAATGTCCCAAGTGCCACTGAAGTTTGCACTTGCGATGGATACTACAGTCTATTTTATGGTTTATTTGTTTTATTTTACTTTGGGTTTGGGTTTGGGTTTTTGAGACAGGGTTTAGCTATGTAGCTCAGGCTGGCCCTGAGCTGTCAACCCCCCTACATCTGAGTGTTGTAGATTATAAGGCTGAGAGCCACACAGAACCAAGAACTTTATCAATAAAAAATGAAATGGTAAAAAAAACATATATGGTAAAGGGTCATTTATGAGAAATTGGGGCTGGAAAGACGGTTCAGTGGTTCCAGAGGACCTGGGTTCAGTTCCCAGAACCCACGTGATAGTTCACAACTACCTGTAACTACAGGCCCAGGGAATCCAATGCCCTTTTCTGACTTCTGTGGGCACCAGGCACACATATGGTGCACACACACACACACACACACACACACACACACACACACACACACAAGCAAATCACTCACACACATAAAAATTAAATAAGTCTAATTTTTTTCAATTAAAAAAAATCACAAAAATGGTGAAAGATAGATTTTTCTTAAAACCGGGATCAAGGTAAGTTTGGATTCACTATAGTACTTGAAGTTAGAAGTAAAGAGAAATTAAGGCAAAAATAAATAAAAATCATTGAAATTGAATAGGAGTGGGTAAACTCATTTGTTAATATCTTGGCCAATCCCAGCAAGCCAGCTTCTTAGGAAATGGGTGCTTCTCGATGTTTTTCTCACAGCTGATGAAATGCCAACTTTGGGACAGGCGTATTTCAGTCATTACCCTTGTAAAGCTTCTGTGTGACGATGAAACCCTCCCTTCCATACGTCACCTATTCCCAAACCACCAAGAGACGATTTACTCCCACCCTTTGTGCTCTGAGTTCTTCGCTAACTGTGATGTTAAATAGATAAACTTAGACTATTAATGAAGGAACAATTTATGTTTTTGTGACAACAAGCCAAAATTTGGCCAATCTCAAACAGCTAAGCTTCAGTCAATCATAGGCTTCCTGTAGGATCTTTTCCAAATAAACACTTGTGCAGCATCATGCTCAAATAAGATGAGCTTGGCTGAGGCCAGTCAAAGCCTTCTTGACTGCTCTGTGTTCTGCCTATGCAAGCTGACTGCTCGAGTTGTTGGGTGGAGCTTGTGGAAGCCCTTTTTGTGAGTGCTTTCTCCAGTGCTGGCATTAGAACCCAGGGGAGCACTCACGTTGGGCAAGTGCTCTACCAGTGACCTCTACCCTCAGCCCCTAAAGTCTTTCATTTCACAATATACAGTGTGATGGTTTGAATGAGAACAGCCCTTAGAATGCTTGGTCCCCAGTTGGTGGAAATGTTTGGGAAGGATTAGGAAGGTGTGGTTTTTGTCATTGGGGGTAGGCTTTGAGGTTTCAAAGGCCCATGACATTCCCAATAAATTCTCTGTCTCCCTCCTGCTTGTAGATCAATGTAAGCTCTCAGCTACTGCTCTAGCGCCATGCCTGCCTGCCTGCTGACATGCTCCCCACCATGATGGTCATAGACTAACCCTCTGAAACTGTAAGCCTCAATAAACTCTATAAGTTGTCTTGGTCAGGTTATCTCTTCACAGCAATTGAAAAGTAACTGAGATATACACAAAGGCCATAATTATTCTATATAAATTTTGCATTTGCTACAATTCTGAATTCTTATCTGTTATTTCTAGTTGATATTGTTTTTCAGATATACAGTCATATTATCTAAGGATAATCTTTATTTTATAGTCTAACTTTTTTTCTATGTTTACTTACTGTGTCTGTCTGCTTGTATGCATGCATGTACATGTGTGTGCAGAAGCATCATGGCAAATATGTAGAGGCCAGAGGACAACTTGTGGGAGTCAGTTCTCTCCCCCTACCATGTAGGTCCTAGGGATAAAACTCAGGTTGTCAGGCCTAGCAGCAAATCCCTTTACCCACCATCTCCCTAACTCTACAGATTTTATTGTCACCACCAACATCCTCTTCTCTTTTGACTAATGCCAATGATAGGACAATTAATTGTGATAACAAAAGTGATGATACTTTCAATGTTTTTTCTGCTAAGTAGCATGCTGATTTGAGGCTGAAATAATGCACATACATATACACACCTTAATATGTATTTGTATAATTTTTTAAGTGATGTATTCAGAAAATATCTATGGAATTTATGTTATTGTTTCCAGCAAGAGGGTTGAGTGTCTGTCAAATGCCATTTTAGTGTTCATAGAAATGGTTCCATCACTTCTGTCTTTAAAACTATTGTGATTCTTGACCCTGTTGTTTTGTGTTAAACTATTCCAGTTATGATATCCTTTTATGGAACTGCTGAATCCTTTCCATAATATTTAATATTTTTGCAATGATGTTTATTGGCAATATTGATCTGTAAAATTATTTGTTGTGTTTCTTTGTTAGATTTTGTTACTTATTCTCACTTCATAAAGACAATATTTTCCTAGCTGGTGAGATGGCTCAGGGGGTAGGTAAGGAGACACTCGCTACCAAGCCTGATGACCAGAGTTTCATCCCCCAGACTCACATGGTGGAAGGCAAGAAACAATGCCAGCAAGCTGTCCTTGGACCTCCACGTGTTAAAAACTAAAAACTGATGTTCTTTCAGTATGCTGTGAGGAAATATCAATAGTACAGAAATAACCTGTTTTATAAGGTTCTCGTGGCAATATTCTAGAGAACTGTTATGACCTCATCTTTTGGCGACTTATCTTGCAGCCACTGTCTTAGTTTCTTCTGTGAAAGTTGGGCTGCTTAGACTTTCTGTCTCTTATTGTATCATTTTCGGCTGCGGGTGGTGAATATGACCCAAATATATTGTATGAGATTCTCAAAAATGAGTGGAAAAAGGAAAAAAGATTGGGCTGGAAATGCACTTAGTGGTAGAGCACATGCCTAGCATGCATGAGGCCTCAGGTTTGATCCTTGGCACTGTAAAAAGAAAAAAATATTACTTCATCTTATTGAGATTTTTAAATGTATAGAATTATGCAAAGCAATTCACGTGGCTTTATTGTATCTGTTTTCATACTTATATCCATGTTTGTACTTTCTGTTGACTTTGGTGACAATACATTTTGTTTACTTCATAAAAGTCCACGTAAAAAAAACTAAATATGCCGGGTGGCAATGGCTCACGCCTTTAATCCCAGCACTCAGGAGGCAGATCTCTGTGAGTTCAAGGCCAGCCTGGTCTACAGAGTGAGATCCAGAACAGGCACCATATCTACACAGAGAAACCCTGTCTCGAAAAACAAACAAACAGAAAACTAAATGTATGTTATATCATATATTTAGAGAATTCTTTTTATCATGTATTTAAACGTGATAAAAATTTAAATTGTAGATTTTTTTCTGTTCCCATTTTCTGAGAAATTTTAATCTTGCAACTGCTAGAAGAGTTTTCTTGTGTTCACACAGATATGGGGTTCCTGGGGTGCATTTTCTTATCTTGTCCTCTTGGAAATGTCACTGGGTAGCTTAAAAAGTAATTTTCTTTAATAAATATTTTCTCCTTCTCCCTTTTTTCCTATCTTCTCCATACCCCACCCTCCTGCCTTGAAGTCCTGGGCTCAAGTGATCCTCCTGAATAGTTGTGAGGACAGGCACATAGCATTCTTTCTCTCTCCTTAGTGATGGGTACAGGCTGGTCCCATGGTGTTTGGTTAATATCAAGCTGGAATTTTAGCATTCTCTATTTGGAAATGAAACTGCCAGCTATTAATTAGTCATACTGGCTTTTCTCCAGCAAACAGTGTGTTAGACCCTGGGGAAACACCATTCAACCAAGGCAGTAGTCGTTAATGAGCTGCTGGGATTTTGTCTTTTAAAAGAAACCCCCTAAGCTTAGACTCCAATCTCCTTTAGAATAAGTATCATGATAGAGTTCCCTCTTTGTCCACTAACGAGTCTCTTGTTGCTGTACATAGCAAACATTCAGGTTCATTAATCACATTTTAATTACTAAAAGTTCTATGTAAACATAGAAATTTAGAGAAAATACGTAAAACATAAAAAAATTAAAATTTCTCCTCTCATATGTAAAATCATGACATTTTAGTGTATTTTATCCCAGCATATCTTCTGTTATTCACAAATGTAAGGTTCTACACAATGTTTTTGTAATTTTCCCATGTATTTGTTAAAGATGTGAATTGTAATAATTATATCTAATATTTTCTGTGTCACCTGTTTACTGCTTCCCTTTGAGTGGACATTGAATTACTTCTACTTTATTTTATTTTTGTAAGCGCTTCTCTTTTGAAAAATTAATGTAATGAGCACCCAGTATTTATGAATGAGTAACATTTCTGAGCCTTCTTTAGGGTCCGTTGTAGTCAGTGTATAAGCTGTGACTCCATCTACACTCTAGAGATTGTTCCAGTTTTGTTAAATTTGTAGGCATGAGTGTGAGGACCTCAGTCTGACGTAAAAACGTGCTTCTGTTTTGGTTTAAAGGCCCCATTTGTTTACTACTTATGGACCCATTTGCTGCCCTTTCTGCCTCGGTTTGTCACTGCATCACTAAAAGCAGTTTTGTGTCTGCGATCTGTAGGATCTGCACTTTGGAGACGGAATCACTATAAACATAGCCTAAGGACTCAGGCCTGTGTGAGCCTCTGTGTGTTGAATTGTGAGTTCTCTAGTCCGTCAAGCTAGAGTTGAGATGGATGGGTGGTCGCCAGCAGAGGGATCTTTTTATTTATTTATTTTTTTCCAAGATAGGGCCTCATTGTGTAGCTTTGGAGCCTGTCCTGGAACTCACTCTGTAGCCCAGGCTGGCCTCGAACTCACAGAGATCCATCTGCCTCTGCCTCCCAAGTGCTGGTATTAAAGTCATGTGCCACCATGCCCAAATTAGGACAGGGACCTTGATAAAGTTCTTTTATAATAAATGTTCTTTTAAATAAAAGAGTGACATGACTTTGAGATTGTGTGTATGAACTTTTACTCACTAACCTTTGACCACTTTTTTGTTTCATAACCCTTTGGGCTTGCCTAATCAAAATAGATTATTTTCTTATCTTCAATTTTATTTGTTCAGAGACTAAATCTTGTAGAGGATGAAGTTGACCGTAGGTTACTCATTTTATGATGGTACCATTAACCTTTACACCCCTTTCCTTTAAACAGTCTCTCTCTAGACAGATGAGCAAATAGAAGATCCCACTAAAGCCAGCTTGTGCGGCTCCTTACACCTCATCTTCCAACCCATATATATCTGGCTTTCCACAAAACAGGTTTTAAGGTATGCTATAGGGCAAGAGCACAGTTTAGAAACAGAGTGAACATCAGAGCCAGATTCAAACACCAGCCAGGACTATGGGACTAAAGCCTGGAAACATAACTGATTAATATGCTAAGGGGTAACATTAAAACATCATCTTACATATGAGTAAACATCCAGATGAAAACCTTTTGAGATTTGTTTTTAATTATGTGTATCTATGTGTTTCCGCATGTGGGTTTGTGCATGTGTAAATGTGCATGCGAATACACTCTACCCACAGAGTCCAGAAGAGGGTGTCAGACCCCTCAGACCTGGAGTTACAGGTGATTGTGAGCTTCTGGACATGGGTGCTAGGAACCCCAGATGGAAACACTGAAGAGCCAGGTGTGCCAGTACCAGTAATTGGAAGGCTAAAGCAGAAACATTGTGAGTTTGGGGACAGCCTAGGATACATCGTGAAACCCTTTCTCACACAGGAAAAAAATAAAGCTTTTAAAATGCCATTGGTCCCGTTAGTAGATTGGGCACAGCGGAGAAGAGAATGACATTAAGACTCCATTGGTAGCAGAGTCCCCAGCAGGAGTGAAGAACAGAAGAACAAGAATCAGGAGGGGCAGGGCAGAGCGAGCTGGGTGCAGCAGCATGTGCCTGTCACAGACACTCTCAAAACCAACAACAGAATCGGACACTGTCCAAGAATGGGGAGACGGTTACGAAAGCTATAAAACAATGACAGGACCTGAAGAAGAGAGGACTGGGGAGTATCTGAAATTCCAGTGAGAATTTTCAAACTAATTACAGACATACAGCAACAGATGGAGGAAACTCAGAAGGCACAAAGGAAGGGACCTCAAACTCTGCCAGCACATGTCCAGACTGCAGAAGTCCCAAGACACAAAGAAAATATGAAAATCAGAGAAAAACAGCTTCTGCTATGGAAGAACATGGAGACCAGTTACATCAGACTGTTCACATCAGAGAAACCACAAGAGCAAGACTAAAGTGGAGCAAAGCATTTGCGTTATTGAAAGAAAGAAAGAAAGAAAAAAATGGATTTGAAGTGTTGAAGAAAGAAATAGCTCTCTCTTTGTCCTGGCTGGTTTTATGTCACCTGGGCACGAGCTAAGGTCATCTGAGAGGAAAATGCCTGTAGAAGACTGGGCTGCACAAAGGCCTGCAGGTCATTTTCTTAGTGATAGATGGGGAAGAGCCCAGCCCATTACGGGTGGTTCTATCCCTGGGCTGGTGGTCCTGGGTTCTATAAGAAAGCAGGCTGAGCAAGCCATGAGGAGCAAGCCAGTAAGCAGCACCCCTCCATGGCCTCTGCATCAGCTCCTGCCTCTGGATCCCTGCCCTGCTTGAGTTCCTGTCTTGACTTCCTGTGATGATGAACTATGATGTGGAAGTGTAAGCCAAATAAACCCTTTCCTCCCCAACTTGTTTTTTGGTCACAGTTTCTCAGTGCAGCAATAGAAACCCTAACTAAGATACACTTCAAAGAAATTAGAGAGATAGTTTATTTAGGACCTGAATATGAGTGGATACATTGCAACCTCTCCATATCACTGAAGTTCTAGTCAGTCAATCAACCTTTGTAGTCACAGCTTCTTTCCTGGAATTCTCATTCACCGAAAGCAGAGGAGAAAAATTCTATACCCAACCCTCTATTCAAGCTGTAGACATTTGCTAGTAAATCATGTAAGAAAAAAAAGAAGTATCTGTTAGTAGGTCTGCCTTTCGAGAAAGATTAGAAGCTCCTTACAGAGAAGAAAATGGTATGCATTGGAAATGTAGATACATAAAGATGGTAGAACATGATAGAAAGACAGGGAAGAGTAAAGCTTGGTGTGAGGTTCCAGCTCTAATGCCAAGAACAGAGAGAGGTCACAAGAGGCTGGGAGCTTGAAGAGAATACAAGGAGTTGGAGGCAGATAAGACACACTTTACTCTGGCACACAGGCTGCCAGGCATCCAGGTATGTGCCTTCAGCGCATACTGACATGCACTGGCACGCAAAGACACAGGTGCCCACCTACACCCGGGCTAAAGTTCGGCACACACAGGCCTTCACAGGCCAGCTGACAAAGAAAAGGCAAAGATGAAGACCTTGACCTCTTTGTCCTGTTTATATAAATCACACAACAGGAGCATTCTGCCGGCTATATAACAGATGACATCATTGCTTACTTCTGAATTCTCTGGACACCTGACGCTGGCCATCTCTAGCTGACTCATACTGGATATCTGTCAGTGTCCTGATGTCCAAACATAAACTGCCTGTATGGATTCCTGTTCCCTTCCTGTGGGAAGAGGAAGGAATCTGGGCGTAGCCTCTCTCCACCTGAGAGTCAAGGGTTTCCAAACATGTTCTGGGATGGTTGCCACCATAGAGTGATATTCCTTGTACAGAAGGAAGAATGTTGCCATAGCAAGGGATCCATCAGCTAAGGCCTAAACCTGCATAGCCTTTCAGTACGACTTTGTTCCTTGCCCAGATATTTTCTGGAAACCTCACAAACAAGACTAAACCTTTGTTTACAGTAAAAAGATTTTTTTTTAAAAATCCCAGCACTCAGGAGGCAGAGGCAGGCAGATCTCTGAGTTCGAGGCTCAGCCTGGGCTACAGAGTGAGTTCCAAGAAAGGCTCCAAAGCTACACAGAGAAGCCCCTTCTAAAAAAAAAAAAATTACCTTGCTGTGCAGTCTTTGAGACCTCAGGATTTACCTTATCAACTATAATCCTGGGATCCATCAGGAACCACCCCATAATATCATTTACCAAAAAGAAAAGGTTCCTTAGCAACCCATTGAGAAGCAACACCAGAAACTGTCAAAAACAGTACAATACTGCAGCTGTGAAGACAATTTCAGACTAACCTGAATTCAATCCCTGGAACCCACATGGTAGAAGGAGAGAACTGCTTCCTGTAAGCTGACCTCTGAGCTACACACACACACACACACACACACACACACACACACACACACACACACACACACCCTGGGTGAATATCTAAAAACTAAGATGATTGCAACTCTCTTTTCCGAGACAGGGTTTCTCTGTGTAGCTTTGCGCCTTTCCTGGATCTCGCTCTGTAGACCAGGCTGGCCTCGAACTCACAGAGATCCGTCTGACTCTGCCTCCCAACTGCTGGGATTAAAGGCGTGCGCCACCACCACCCGGTGCAACTCTTTTTTTTAATGAGCCCGCGTCCATGCTTTCACGTGTATCTTGTTTTCTTGCCGAGCACCTCATTTAATCCCCATATTTAAAGTCTATATTAACAATGTCTCTTAATAAAATCCAACTCAGCTCACACTGGCTAGTCCTGAAAGGTTTTTCTATGGGGAAGTAAAGATCCCGGCTTGACCTGAGTCAGAAGTCCGAGGATGGAGGGATCTCCTCAGGCTACCCACTGCTGCGTGGACTTTGGCTTCGCCTTGGTCAGCGAGAGCGTTAGAGGCGTAGATGAAAGTGAAACAGAGTTACCGTTCTTATTCTTCACTGTTCTGACAGTATTTGTTGAATTAGCAACAACAGTATTTGATTAGCAAAGCTTATGTCTGAAGGGGAGAGGGACTGGGAATAATCTCTCAGTTACAGTAGTACCCCTGGAGCAGGATGGTGTTGTTCAGAAGAGGAATGATGTAAGCTGTATATGCATATATCAAACCACTAAAAACATTAAAATCTAATTGAGACTTGTGGTCAAATAGAATCATAAGATGGTCACTATGATGCTAATCTTTATTGTTGACTGAATTTGGAATCTCCAGGAGGCACGCCTCTGGACATGTCTTGAGGGTACTTCTAGGGAGTGAACTGAGAAGTATCAGAATCTTCCCAGAGGCCTGCCCTGAGAAAATCCCTCCCAGGGTCCTGGGGAAGATGCTATGTCTGGCGGTGGGTTATCTGAAGGAAAAGAATCTATGTACACCATGATCTTTTGTTCGTTTACATTATTTCTCTAAGACAAAATTCTGTCTATACAGCTTCAGCTCCATCCTCACATTCAGCTCCTCTCTGTACCTACTTTTCCTGTCCCCTCATAGCCCTAGTAATAACTAAGCCCTTATGCTTTTGATCTTATCTTCATCCCCTGTTCCTTCATTCTCCATCTTTCCTCCCTCTTCTCCTCTCCTGACCTGATTCAAATTCACCTACAGTCTGCAGAAACTTTTCCTTACTCCTCAGCCTGAGCCACACTCTCCAAAAACTCTGCCTTCTCCCCTCTCCTCCAGCCACACAACTCTGCTCTGACCAGGAGTTCTGCTCCAGTCTTTACTGCACCTGGTTATGCAAAAAGCCCCATTGTCCTGAGTCAGTTGCTCTGCAGTGCTACTAGGCCAAACTAGCACTTCCTCCTCCAAGTTACTTCCTGTCAAGTATTTGGTCACAGCAATGAAAACAGTCGTTGTCTTCGTGAGGGTGTCTGTGGCTGTGAGGAAACAGCCTGACCAAAGCAACATGGAGAGGAAAGAGTTAATTCCCATCTACAGCTTCTAGTCCATCATTGGGGAAATCAAGGGAGAAACTGATGCAGAGGCCATGGGTGAGTGCTGCTTACTTGGTGTCCTCATGGCTTACTCAGCCTGTCATCTTCAAGCACCCAGGACCATCACCCCAGTGAGCTGGGCCCTCCCCCATCAATCATCCATCAAGAAAATACTGGCCAATCGGGTGGGAGCATTTTCTCGGTTGAGGTTCCCTCTCCCAAAATGACTGTAGCCTGCGTCGAGTTGACATAAAACCAGCCAGCACAGTAGTCAATACGATTATAAAAACCATGAAGGTCGGAAAAGGAACAGAAGAGAAAGAAAAAAGAAAACAAATAAAAAAACATAAATGTTAGCCCAGCCATAACATTTCTGAAACAGAAACATGGGAATAAAAAGAAGTTCTTGTCAATGGTAAGAGGACAGAGACACAGCTCCACAGTGCCGCCCTCACCACCCCAAGGAGGTCTCCTAGACTTTCCGGGACTGTGTGACTCCAGTCAAATCATGGTTTGTGACTTTGACACCGGAAGGAACTTCAGGACTAGCCAGTTTCAGTGAAGAAGAGTTGGTGGCTTTATTAAAGATACAGGCTTTCAATATAGGCTCAGTGCGAGGACCAAATGAGGCTCTCAGAAGAAAGGAGGATGCACCTAGGTGTGAGTACAAGCTCCCCAAGGGAGAGTAAGCAGTCACTGACTTAGCGTGAGTCAGATTCACCATTTTAATAGCTCTCAAGTCGCAGCCCTAAAGGCTGCTAAGGAAACCCCCTCCCTACCCCCCATTTGCTAAGTGATTTATGTTTCTATGGAAACGCCTTGGCTGGAATGAGAATTTGATAATGTAAAACCAGAAGCCACTAGGGATGAACAAGGGGTTTGGTACATTGGGGCTTCTGGTGAGATACTAGAACATTCCTGGGTTATGGCTGAGAAGGGAGAAAAGCCTTAAGTAATTGGTAACTGCGCTGGAATTCTTGCTTCTCTGTTGCCGAAAGCTTTACCTGGAATCTAGAGGGGCTTCTTTGTTCATGTGTCCCCAAGTTCACTGCCTCTCTATCTTGCCTCACTTTGCTCCCTGAACATTCTACATAAGGAAAACCTATGGCTAACATCGTACAGTCCAGGACTCAAACCCAGGGAACTGTGCTGCCAACAGCCGATCCCACACAGACGCTCACAGATGCTCTCACAGGCCAATCTGATCTAGACAGTACACCACTAAGACTCTCTTCTCAGGGGATTCTAGGCTGAGTAAAGCAGACAAATAGAACCAACCACCACATGATGCAAATCTGAAAATGAATTTAATAAAATAATCCTGGGCCAGAGTTGCAGCTCACTAGCAGAGTGTGCCTCGCATACACATGGCTGGCGATCCTATCCTTGTTGCAGTTTCTTTGCCTCATTAATAAAAAGCATTTAAAAATAATGCAGAAGGAATCTCAAAGACCCTTTTATAAAGTTTAAAAAGACAATAACAGGGCAGACAGGCTGAAAATCCCGGCAGCTGCTGGGAAGAGGGAGACGAAAGTCTTGCCTTTTAAGTTAGAGGTCAGAGGACCGAGAAGTCCAGGTGTGGAGGAAAGGATGCACAGGCTTTTGGCTGGTATCTGAAAAAGAGATCAAGAGAAAGGAAAGAAAAACCACATTTAGTGCTGGGCCTCAGATTTGAGTTCCGAGGACACCAAACTCTAGGCTCTTGTGATTTGGGACAAAGGGTTGTGCCAGGGATACACGGTAAGACGTAGAAATAGAGTGTTTGAGAGAGGAAAGGTGGCCAATCTTTTCCTCCTCTCCAAGTCCAAGCCCCCAGCCTTACCCCCCAATTCCATAGCAGACCACCTGCTGCACTCTCCGCCCTCTGCCTCCATCTCAGCTAATCAGATCTCCTCCTTCAGCCTTCCTCCCCTCTCATCCCCTTGTCTCAGCC